GGCCTGGACCACTGACACACCTGGTGGGTCACCTTCCCTTGCGAGCCCATCCTTGGTCCCAGTTCTTCGCTTAGGTTGGGCCAGGAGAGACTATTCCAGCTGTGCTGGGAAAGTAGGATGACTCAAAATGCTCTCAAAATGACTCAAAATTCTGGGAGCCGAAGTCCACGCATCTTAAAGTTGCCGAGTTTGAAAAACGCTGCTCTCCATCCAGACTCATAAGCAGAGTAGCAACACAACGCTAGCATTAGAAGAGGCCTATTTCAGAGAATGCAAGTTCCTTTCTTAAATCCTGCCACCCAGAGCTAAAAGGAGGAGGGGAGAGAAAATCAGTGGTTTGAAGCGTCCTTGGCTAAAGCAGTTCTGAGAGGCTTTGCTGGGAGGAAAACAGCCCTGCCTCTCCCAGCTGCCTCGCTCTCCCTTCTGGATATCCGCATCCCACCCCAAATGTCTGTTCTCTCTTCGAGCCCCAAAGGGCGGGCGCAGCTTGGCAATCACCGAACGTCCCAGATGAGCAACGCTTAGGAGCTCTTCCCCGTGGCTGCTGTTAATACGCCGCCCAGCCGCCTCTCGGCCAGCAGAAAAGCAGACCAGCACGGATGCGGTGCCCCCGATCCCCTCCCTCTCTTCCCACAGTGCCGCCGAACGGCACCCCCCTCCTCTATCGCGTGCGGGGCTGGGGAAGAGCCGGCTGCGGAGGGACCACGGCAGGCCCCTCCCCTCCTGTTTCAGCCCCCCCCAGCAGCAGCGCAGCAGCAGCAGCAGCGCCAACAGAGCTGAAACCTTGGCACGGGTGTGGGAGGAGAACGGAGGAGGCGCGCCTGTTTCGGATGGTCCAGAGGCAACGAGAGCGAGGGAAAGCGCGGATATAAAAGCCCAACGTGGAACGTCGCAGGCGCTCTGCCTGCTGGCCAGAAAGAGAAGGAAAGAGCAGAAGAAATTCCAGGGAGAGGAATTAAGGCAGAGCAGGGTTTGTGAGAAGAAAAAATGGTTATAGAGAGGAAGTACTGTAACAGTAACCGGGTAGTAATGGAGTATAGTAATTGTTATCGTTATAGTTACAGTCATCAGCATAGTAATACAGAAATAATAGTCATAAAATAGAATGTAGAAGAGAGGCAACCGAAAGCACTCACATATAAACTTGTTTCATATTTAACGTTTGTATCTTGTTTTTTTTCAGAACAAAGCATCTCCCCAGCCCTTACAGGGAGATACCAAAAAACACCTGTCCAGAGTCCAGTCCTTTTGCTGGGCCTTTTGAGCCTGAGTCAACCCGAACTGGGTACCGTTTAAAGACGTCTCCTCCTAGACCCGCCAGCCGACATCCTTCAGCCGACCAGGTCTGGCAGGAAGGGCACGTTACCCGCCGGCTAAAGGGTGTCGGCTGGCAGGGTCTAGGAGAGCCTTTTCTGCCGTCACGCCCGCCCTGTGGAACATCTTGCCCCCCCCAGGTGAGGCCGGCCCCCACTCTTCTGGCCTCCCGGAAGAGCCTTAAGATCTGGCTCTGCCGACTGGCTTGGGGGTCGATTGGGGGCATGCAGCGTCGGGGGCGGCTGGCGGCTTGAGGACGCCCTCTCCGTCTTTTAATTTTGTCTATTTTGTAAGATTTTTATTGCTTTTATCGCTTTGATTTGCGAGCTGCCTAGAGTCACTTGTATCGTGAGATGGGCGGTGTATAAATTCGATTTATCAAACGAACGAACCAACAAGAGCCCGCGACAAGGGCGCGCTAAGGAAAGAGTAAGGGTTCCCTCCTCGCCAAATGGCCCGTCTCTGGGGAAACAACCACCGGTCACTGTTTTTACCCTGGGACGCTCCAGAGGGTCTGCCCAGAGCTGTCTGAACAGCCGACAGGTTCATGGTGGGGTCTGGAGGTGGCAGGGGAGTGGGAGGCTCTGGTCACACTAGGCCAGTGTTTCTCAACCTCGGGCACTTTAAGAGACGTGGACTTCAACTCCCAG